ATGGTCGTCTCTTCAAGAGACGACCACATTAAAAAATTGGTCAAATTAGACCAACATGCAATGTGGCGCCCGGCGTGGCGCCACGTTGCATGGTCGTCTCTTGAAGAGACGACCACGTGGAATGGTCGTCAGACGACCATCCTTTGGTTTTTTAAATCAACCATATTTTTAAAAAAAGTTTCATGAACTACCTTATTTCAAATATTTTTAATTAAATAACAATATTTTTAAAATAAGTTTAATATATAATAATATTAAAAAAAAAATCCTACCAAACACACATATCTGAAAACACTGAAAATATGGAATATAACTGTGTTTGAATCGACATTTTCATAAAAAATTGACAAATCTATAAAAAATATCAATGAAATATCACTAATCTTAATATAATATTAATATTAATGATTTGTAACTTATTTAAAAATAGTGAAATACTTATTTGTTATATATTTTTTCAGAAATATCCACTCACATCGACATTTAATGAATATTTTCATCGACATTTTGATAAATTTGAAATCTCAATATTTTCATCAACATCGATATTTGAAACTTTAGTGTTAGTCCTAATTATTTGAGTGTTATTACACTAAAAAAAATTATTTGAGTGTTTTTTCTTTCTTTTCAACTTGGTCATTTTTTTTAGTTCAACGATTATGGGGGAGAAGTGATCCATTATGGTAATAGTTGTTTTATCTAATGAGTTATATATATTTGAGTGGTCAATTTAGCCATTTATGTTTTAACATATCATTTAAAATTTGTTGATGATAAACATTTACGACCATTGTATGTAATAAGTTGACAAAAATTTTAATGAGAAATTAGGTCACCCGAACGATGAAAAGTTGAAATTTCTAGTAACTTTTTATAAATTTTGAGGAAGAATTATAAATTTTCTTTTTTAAACAATCTAGGTTCTCATCTAAATTTCTACTAATTTACTGAGTATCAGTAAATTATTATGATGCGTAAACTTATTATCCATTCATTCTAACATTCATGAACTAATCCGGATGTGCTTCAATAATAACCCTAAGGACAAATTCCTCTTCCTCTTCCTCTCTAACTCCCTCTCTACCCATGAAAATTGTTTGTGGCACGTGCTAGGGTTTGTGGAACGATCGGGATCGGCAAAATTTATCTAGAGATGTTCCTAATATTCAGGTGAAGAGTGAATGGATTTTCGCGTACTTAGATGAACTGGCAAAAGGCAATGTTTTGAGGTCCGAGGATAGACATTTCACCGCCCCTGTAGGAGACAGATATGAAGAGCTCAACCACCGGAGAGCTCTTCAATAGGGGTGGAGTAAGATTTAATGTCGATGCCGCTTGTCGACCTTCTCTCAATAGAACATGGATGGGTGACAAAGTTGTAAGTGAGGCGGGGACTGGCGAAGGGTAAAGAAGAGAGAGGTCTGAGTTTCTACCGATAATACCTTTTTGAGGTAGAATTTTTTTTTATACTTTTTTATTAATTGTATCACAAAAATAAACATGATGTGTTCACCTTATTTTTCACAGTATATGTTCATTTTAGTGTTTAGGTATTTGTTCATCTATTCATCGTTTTTGTGTTACTGTATTTGTTTCAATCTTCGGTATTGGTATTTCCATTTCTAAAATGATTTTATTGTTTAAATTTTGGTATTTCTATTTCTAAAATGATTTTTTTGTTTAAATTTTGTTTTAGAATTTAATTTAATTAATACTTTTTCCTTGGATACTGTATGATTAAAAAAATATAGGTATAATTCTCCTATAAAAAGTATAAATAATATATTTATTTAAAAATCATGCAAGGGTAATTCGTACCTAAAAAATTAGATTTAGGTTGGCTATTCTTTAAAACTTTGTTTGGCCATTTTTAATAGCCCAATAGTCTATGTAAAGACTTTAACCTCATTTGTATTTAATGTGGATTTCAATACATAATAATCTCATTGCTGTGCATTTTCTCTCCGTACTTTATGACGTTATCAGAGCTTTAGAACGTCTAATGACGGTTCAAGAAACATGACTGATTCTGTGGAAAAAAACTTTGAAGTTGCAGCGAGTCAAGGAGCACCGCTAATCAACCCAATTAGCAAAATCACCATCGTAAAGTTGACTAGTAGCAATTTCCTACTATGAAAATTTCAAGTACTCGCGGCATTAGAAGGTTATGGTTTAAAGAGCTACATTGATGAAACCTCTGAAATACTACAACAGTACATTACTAGTACAGAAAACTCTGATGGCTATAGAAAGGCTAAATTCAGCCTATACACAATGGAAAAGACAAGACAGATTGATAATTTCGTGACTCTTAGAGTTTATGTTAGAGGAGATCCTTGCATATCTTCTTCGTTGCAAAACAGCAAAAGGAATAT